AGAGAGTGTGTGTGTGAGAGAGAGAGTGTGTGAGAGAGAGAGAGTGTAAGAGAGAGAGAGAGTGTGTGTGTGAGAGAGAGAGTGTGTGAGAGAGAGAGAGTGTGTGAGAGAGAAAGAGTGTGTGTGAGAGAGAGAGAGAGAGAGAGGGGGGGTGAGTGTCACGGAGAAGGAGAGCGGGAAGGCGAGAGAAGTAACTATATTAGAAGGAATATGTGCATCTGTGCCTGTGTGTGTGTGCCGTCTGTGCCGTACGTGCGTTTGTCTGTGCGTGTGTACTGCGCATACGTGTGCACCTCTCCGTCTGCATTCTTCCCTCCCTCTCTCATTTCTCTCCTCTTTCCTTCCTCCTCCCCTCTCGCGGATAGTATCGCCCACGGCGTCAGGTGCACGGTGAAAAGTAGGCCAGGCAAATGGCCGGTTTTCAGCCTCAACTTTTTCATCCCCCCAAAGCACAAAATGTGATTATACGGTTATAATACGCGTTTTTACAGTCACACAAGCACACATACACACACACTAACGGACGCGCACACGCGGGTATGGTCGCACGCACGCGTGCGCGTGTATTTTAGGCGTAAATCCCCATTTTGTACCTTGCGGGGTAAAAAAGTTTTGGCTGAAATACGGTCATTTACCTGCAAATGTTTTTCCATGCTTGACTGGTCGTGGGCGATACCATCCGCGAGAGGGGAGTAAGGAATAAGTGATTAAGCCTACTTTTATTCACTGTCAATGTTACTGCCTGGCATCTGTTTATTATTATTATGATTAAATCTTTATTACATGTACATGTAACTACAAATACATGTACTGAAGACAGTCTTTTTCATGGACAAAAAATCTGATAAATGCAATAGTGTTGAGCAGTTAAAAGAATACAATTTCTGATTGAAACAGTAGATTGTGTGATACATAGTTCTGCGTGATACATGTTACATCAAAGCTTTATATGTTGTTACAGGACTGTGACATGAATATTATATACGTGAATGGCAATATGATACGACTATTGTGTACCACGTCGGTAATCGGCGAGCTATAGCGGCTGTTTATATCTGCTGTCGGCACTCATGTAAAACAACTATTTTTATTTTATATATGAATCTAAGGTATATATGATTACTCTAAAAAGCTAAAACTACTTGTCACAGATTGTCCTTGAAATATCCTCGAAAAAATAATTCACACTTTTGTGGGAACCCTGTTCCATCTCACGTATTAATTTCTCAAAAATGAGATGAACTGCTGTTATTGACTGTTGATAATGAAACAATTCATTGATTAATTAAATAATCTGCAAGCCTTTATTATTGCATAACTTTTAACATCCTTGATACATAGGCCTATATACTATTCGAAAATACACTAATGCATTATGAGTTATTAAAGTTTAGTTAGAAAACCGTTGAGTATCGCGCAAGTTTATGCGTGACATATATCCCGTACATCACTTCAAACTAAGAGACCACTATGGTTACTTTTCATGATGTAAAATTCATATCTTCTTACGTAACTATATAGCTAAGTGCAGGCGAGATAATTTGACGTCAGGTTTCTGTTCTTACGTGAACAAATCTAGCTGTCACGTAACCATACAGAGTTCTCTCCATGCAGGTATCATATCGGATCCAACATATCTTCAAAGCGCAAGCTAATTGCGACATTCATTAGATCCTCCAACATGCTGTTTACTTATGCTAATTCCAACGGCCATGGTGTGTTTTCGCAGGTCTGTATGTCTCCTAACTGGTCGAGTTTACCTGTGTATTACGGCCGCCGTAATTGACTAAACCGGCTACACCCCCTTCTTCTTCTCCCATTCGACCATAAACGACGCCTTCTGAAATTTCTGGGGATAATCCTGGATAAAATTTCGATTATTTATCAGCCAGTTCAGTACATTGTCAAGCTACTTTAGTCGGTAGTAAAAAGAGAGAAATATTGTTATTATATACAATGTTTTACTATCAGCCAATTCAACAGTGTACATCTTTCTGCCCTTCCCAGTCTCATCACAGAATCATTCCATTATAATTATTAGCTGCACAAACGTGTACGCAATAGAGTTCTTTATAAAAGTACATCACGATTTCTAGAAATGTCTCAAAGCATCACAATTGTCACACTGTCACACGTGCTTTTAAAATCCGTACAAAAATTTTAATTATATAAAAATATAGTGATTATAAAAGCCCCAAATTTCATTATGTACAACACACCTAAGAATTATTGCCATAATCGTGGCCACAACCATAGAAGTGTGTAGATAGACTATCTAGATATTATTTATATGGTCACAACCTATACAAGAAATGCTGCATGACAAACGTTCACATGTTCCATCGAGATCAGCAGTTAATTATAAAGTATCACTTTGATATAAATAGATGGGTATACGTTGATATTATTTATCAAAATTATTATTGTAAACGACGAGGAACTACAAATGTATTTATGATAAAAACCTTCCAGCCTTAAAGGAAGGCACTCTTCATTCATTTCCGTGAGAAATTCCTTCAGCTTATTCTTCTTAGCAACAGTGTTGTATGTAAAGCGGTTTTACCAGCACTAAATTTAATAAGAAGAACGTTTACGTGATGTTGTTCCGAATCGTAATTAAGACACAACAATACAGTATACTGGTTCACGTTTCACGTAGCCCCCCCCCCTCCAAGTCCTACTACATGGCAAACCATATACATACCAGCATCGCACAAGACTGCGATGCATATACAACAATAGGTTATGTGACTTCCACATACGATGTGGATGCACAAATACGGTTTTTTTAACTTACATGACAGCTATTTTATACAATATTCTACAACCAACAGGCGAATGAAAACCCATCCACATACATAGTCCAAAATAACTGAGCCAAGAATCGTAAATATAAAAACCGTTCACATACCCCATTAATATATGTAGCCTGTCAGATCAAAACATGCCGTAGGACTCAATTCGGACATTATGAGTTAGTAGTTTTATCAGAAAGACCATTCAATTCTGGTTATTTTGAGACCAAGATCTTCTTCACTAGGTCACATGGTTCGGAAGTTATGAGCATTTGAGTAGTTGGAATCGGGACGATTTTGGAAAACAAAGTTCAGAGTAATTAGGTCATAAGTTTGTTTTCATTTGGCCTTCATTTGGACAAAAATCTGAAAAAATATCTTACTGCATATTACACTTTTGGCCAGTTTTATTGATGTAACATCGAACATGGATAACTACTAAGGTATTTATGACCAAAAAAAAATCGGCTTTTTACTACTTTTAGGTGAAAAATCACCTATAACTCAGAATGAACATTGAAGTCCTACGGCATGGTTTGCTCTGACAGGCTATATACGATTTAGCAAGTGCATCACGTATAAGAAACGATTTCGGTGAAATCACCATCTGTCAACTCACCGTGCTTACTCATAGGAACCAGCCATATTTTTACATTTTTGTTGGACAGCAGGCAATAAACATTCGTTTTGCCATTTTAAGTAAACATTAGGTGCTAGTGACAGTGATCACAAATGCTTGTAGTAGGTAACAATCAAGTAGCCATGTGTCAGTGCGTGAGGTATCGGTGCTTTGCTCTGCTTCACTCTACTACAGTGTGCTATGTCAGTGATGTGATGGGGTGCTGTGACAGTGTACACTATCTTGAGGTGTGTGCACCAATATATCATGAGGTGCTACGTCAGTGATGTGATAGGGTGCTATATGTCAGCTTATGTTATGTCAGTGTATGCTGTGACAGTGTGATGAGGGCGTTATGTCAGTGTATGCTGTGATGGTGCAGGCTCTGGTTATACCCACGGGCATGAGAGTGAGCCACGGCTATCTGCAGACACTGCACCCACTGTTCAGCGTTCTTACTATCCTTCGCCTTGAACACGTACGTTCGCTCCTGCGTGAAGATCTCGAAGGCCCGCGGGATGTTCCGAACACCACGTCCAACCGCCTTCACACTCTGTATCTGGGATACGTCGATTGGTAGTGTCTCTCTGCTCTTCTGAAATAGGAAGCTGCATTGAGAAGTGTACCACTGCAATGTATTAATGCAATGTAATGCAATTTTGTGAAGTGTATCGCTGTTTCAATGTAGTGCAATGTCATAATACAATGTAATGTAGTAATCAATGCAATGCAGTGCAATGTAGTGTTGCAATATTATGCAATTGAATGTAGTAATTCATGCAGGGCAGATCCATATCATGGAATGCAATGTAGTAATGCAACAAGGTGAAATGTAATGTAGGGCAATGTAATGCAAAGTCGTGCTGCCAAACAGGGGCCGGGTGTCAGAAACAAAATTAGTCTTGACATTAGTCTTAACATTTACTTTTTCTCTTAGACTGTCGACAGAAACGCTGCGTAGTTACCTGAATGAAAAATCGTAGCAGATTTCCTCATAAGAATACGAAATAAAGTGCTGTCGACGGTCTACGAGAAAATGTTAGTGTTAAGATTAATTTTAAAACTAATTTTGTTTCTGACAACGGGCCCCAGGCTTTTAGTCAGTTTCAGAAAAAGATGTTCGCAACCATCTAGGCTAATAACCGGATAACGGCGCCGCGTGTAACACAGCAGAACTTACCGTGCCACGGTAGGTGAGATGCGCTCCGGATAGTGTGAAGTAGCGAGTCCTCCAGCGTCTAAACAGCTTCCACCTTCCCTTCTTCTCCTTCAGCTGACCCTATATGGCAATGAAATGATAAGACATGACTCGTATTGCATCGAAAGTCTTCGCATCTTTGCATCAGTCATTACTGAATTTTCCTGCCAAATTGTAATCGATCAACTTACGACCGACTTCCACAATGGCATTGGTGTGTCGCATAGTTTTCGTTGCATCGCTTTTTGTAAATTACACGATTATGTTATTCTTATAATGATTAACTATTATTTGTACTTTGCCTTGCACAGGTGACAGTACACTATTTATATATTAATGCCTGTTGTTGGGGGCACTATGCTCTCATAGTGTTGCTGAAGGAAGGTATACAACAACAGGCATTAATGTTTTTAGTGCATCACATGACTTTGCAATCTACTCGGCAAATATGAAGTGAATAAAAAAATCTGGAGCGCTCCATGTTGTTGTCGTCTAACTGCTACAGGTAGGGGAAATTGAATTAGAATTTTGAAATTTAATTCGAACAATGCAAATAACAATTCATAAATGCAATAACATGAATAACAATGCGTCGCGCAAGCAATAGTGCCCGCTCAGGCGGGCACTATTGTTTCATAGTACCTGCGACGTTATTCAATGGAATTTCAACGATTTATCACGTGATGCACTAATACAGTATTGTTACTAGATAACTGCATACACCTGCAGCACCGTTGTCATGGTTACCTCAATCACAGGTTCCCCGTCCTCCAGTACTGTGGCACGTTCAGGGTGTACACATAGGAAGCAGAACCAATGCCGCTTAATGCTGCTGTATTCAAACACGTCGAAGTATCGTACGCTCTTCACTTCATCCAGAAGCATCTCCTGTTCCTGCAATGTACACATATACACACACACACAGCTATTACTTACTCCTACATCCACACTGATCCTGTAGCAAACGTTTTGTAGGTGTGGCTATTTGAAAGACGGATATATAAATTATTGGGTTAGTTTAGCTTAGCATAATAGCTTTAGTTAGATTCAGTCATAGCACATAGTAGCTGGGGCAGTTGTTGTAGATATAGAGTAGGAGAGTTGCAGTATATTTGATTTTGAAGTGGACAATTATTTGTGTCGGCATGGGAAGTGATAACCATTTAGATTTTAACCGGTATTCTTGCAGTATCATGGGTATTAGGTAGCAGATTTTATTAGGCTAGGGCTTAAATAAAGAGATATAAAATCATTGTGTAGGTAGTTGAAAGAACTGTCGGGGAGAGGTATTCAAGGTGTATGGGTGCATACATGAGTCTCACAGTATCACTTGTGTATGCACAATTATATCTGTTAATAGTACACTTTTTGCTGAAGCACATTTCTGAGCTATACTAAATTTCTTATAACTGTATAACACACAAGATACAGTCTGAATTCTAGAAACAAACGCATTTTACACAAAGCCTACACAGTCTTACTGCAGAAGTAACCTACCTTGATGGAAGGGAAGGCTGAGGTTATTAGAGCTACAAAGCTTTTGCCGTCATTTTTTACAGAGTCCCAGGTAGATTTAAGGGCCAACACTTGCTGATCTTCCTGGGTGAGAGGCTTCTCTGAACGTGCCTAAATATGACAAGCTCACACATCAGCAACATATCATGGGTTTTTCCTGCATCAGCTGTAAATGTATATGCCTACTACCTATTTTTACAAATACACCGTGTTTACTTAACTGAGTTACGCAGTCTAACCTCAAAATCACTTACAGGGATGTAAACACATCATACTACATAAGCATGGATAGAAGATGAATAAATTCATCAATCACATGACAATGTTGAAAATTATTTTATTTTATCACGAATCTGGTCAGACTGTTTGTAGCAACAGTGAGGGATTCACACTCAATCATACCTGCAATGTAAGAAACATCATGTGGATCCAAAGTCTAGGGCATCGTGTCTTCATCTTCAGGTAAGTGTGGTTGTACAGGCAGTGTTCGCCTCTCTCCGCACAGCTAAAGTAGACCTTTGCAAAACGCTTGTGCGTTCTGTGGCCTAAAACAGAAGAGGGTGACGATAAGTATGTCACAATACATACAATATACACGTAGTACATAGTACATAGTAAATCCCATGTCACAATACTACAATCAAAGCTCCTGAAGATGTTATATGATTTAACTTGTTGTTACACTTGCAAAGACCTCATGACAATAAAATTATAACAAAAATAATAACATGTTCTTACAGATGTAACTCTATGTAAGCATGAATAAATGCTCTCCCACTGGCCAACTGACAGAACCACTCAGCATGACTAAATAGGTTCAATATGTAAATAGCAAAGCTACATAACTGAGCCAAATCTTGAATATGGCAAAAATGTTTTTCATCCACAACCTTCTCAATGAACCACTTATCCCAAAAGAAACACAAGTATTCGCACAGCAGATATGCAAATTTAGTTGATCACATATTCTACATTCGTAAAAATGAGGCATCTATACCTCTGGTGTCCACAACACAATTGCTTGGCATTGGGATACGAAAGGTCACTTGGTTGTTGATGAAATTCTTGATCTTCTCTAGATGTTTGGTGCAGAACTGCCTTATTGGATCATGGGGCCGTTCACCTGGAATCTGATAAGCCTGCAGGGGAGAATACATGGCTATCAGACCACGACGTACACCTTGTACATCTCAATCTTAGATTAAATACATTACACTTTATATATATATATATATTAATATATTATATAAAATAAAGTAATAAAATAAATATTAATATTTAATAAAACAATATATATGATATTTTATTGAATTAGATTATATTTCATTTTTTTTATAATTATATATATATATATATACATCTGAGTTTAGAGATGCCAAGCACAACTGACTACTGATACCATCTGCCACGGATGAGTCACTAACACGTAAACTAACGAGCTGATGCGATCATGTGCGGCAAGGTTTGATGCGGTGAAGGCTGTTCAAGGTGCGAAATTAACCCGAGTCAGGAGTCAAATACTCCCTGATTTACTGACGGACTCCCTGATTTGACATATGCAGGAGTCCGTGTGACTCCCTGAAAATTCTGCTATACTAACTAGTTCATTCCAGAGCGGACTCCCTGATTTGACATATGCAGGAGTCCGTGTGACTCCCTGAAAATTCTGCTATACTAACTAGTTCGTTCCAGAGCACAGCCTCGCAGAATTACCGTATTTTTTCAGCAAATTTTTAATTTTGAACTTCAGACTACGGACTCCGTCATTTTGCTGCGGACTCCCTCTTTTTAAGGGCAGAGAATCTGTTGGACTCCCTTGTTCAAAAGTTAATTTCTACCCCTGCTGTTCGTTACTGACCGTTGTGAGGGTTCTGTAGGAGCTTCCGTTCGTTAGCGTGCTCTGTGAGCTCCGCTCAGACTGTTGACTCTGACTTCTCTCTGACTTCACACTCTCCGCCTGACTCACACGCAACGCTGACTTGGAGTGCATCTGAAACGGCAAATGCAAGACCCTCACTGCCAGATGGACGGACACTCGCTGCTGACTCATAAGACAAACATATCATCGTCACGGCTAATGACACGTATGCAGTGACGTGTCACGACAATTACAGAATTACGCCAAGAAAAAGAATGGGGAAAAAAAAAGAAACGAATAAAAAAAACAAGACATGAGAATGAAAAATGATTACTGGATTAAGTGAAGAAGAACGAGTGAATGAAAGAGTAAAAGGCTAAAAAAGGAAATGAAAAGAACAGAAGAACGAACCTTCTCAGCGGATCTGGCGCGGTTAACAGATGACGCTGGCCTTGCGATGCTTAGATGGCTAGACCTATCTCCTACACTTGTCAATGTTGTATTCAACTTGTCTCCTGCAAACTCACTACACAGAAAAAACATTGATAACTTATCTCTATATGATAATAATACCAACAACATGCTAAGATTGAAATCACGATAATTCTCCTATTATCACATCTATACAAACACGAATGTCTTACGTGCATTCCAGTAAAAATAAAATGCTACATTGATGAACAAATAAAGGGGGACTACATAGCTAGGTGGATAGACGACAAGACAGCTTATGTTATATTTCTCACACAGACAGACTGCCACTCACAGGGAGGATTTGTTGCGTGTTCCATCTCCTTCACTCTGCCTGCCTCCGACATTGATCACCGTAACAGAACCAGACATTCGATTCTCCTGTGACAGCTTCATGTTCCTGGAGAAAGCACATTACCATTACAGCACACGCCGCAACCACCGCAAGCTATCAGCGAGCAATAATGAGATTACGCTATCTGCTAATACCATGGGAAATATACTCAAATGAAAGATAGACCCGACTGTATAGGTCATGAATTAAGAATTACGATGTATTTTCATTAGTATACAGTCATGTCATATCTTGACCCATGCTCCTTCGCACTAACAAACAAGAAGGCTCTTAAAAATGTTTATTTAATAGAACTCGCAAACAGAAATGTAACAAAATTGTACTGCATTATTAAACACTAAGCGAAGAACTATTTGAGATAAAGTGTTTTACCTGTTTGCGTAATCCGTTTTCAGTTGTTGGACAAGAAGCTTTGTGGTGGAGTTCACTGCTTGAGAGTACTGGCTAATCTCTGCTATGTAATCAGCAAGCATGTTGTGTCTCACGTCAGTGATCTGCTTGATCTCCCGCAGTAGGATAGGCTGGTTGTTTTCCTCCACGGCGGACAGTTGTGATGTCAGGTAGTTTAAACTGTTCTTTGCATGCTCCTGCATTTCCAAAAGTTTTAAGATGGGGTTAATCGGTATCACTGAATTTAGCCTTTCTTTGATCATTACACTCCAAATTATTATGAAGTTTCCAGTTTCTACCAACACTTATTTCTTTTGACATCCAGATAAGAAACACATACAATCATTACTATAACCTAGGAATTTCCCATTCCTTAACCCATGTCCACGATACATTTGTACACCCAACAGTTCTACCCATGTGATCATGCAGTCAAGCTGGACCAGTTTCCCAGTGTTTTTCACACATGGACACCGAACTGTGTAGTACTTTCTTTCCCATCACTTTGTTTAAGAATACCCTATCACAAAGCTGATCGACTACAGCTATCTGCCAATCGCCCCAGATGGATAGGTCAATTGTATCACCCGACGAATCCCCCCAGCAACTTTATACCCATCCATTTCCCTCGATCTCAAAGCTCGAGTGTACCTGACTGAGCCTCCCCACTAACCCAACCACACGGACTACGAGCGGGAGGGTGGGAGGCTGGGCGGCCACGGTCTGCTTCAGAACCTCCACTCGCTCGGTGAACGGCCCGGGATTTGTCGTTGCCATCTCGACGAATATCTGCAGGACGAGGGTTGACGTTTGCACTGACGACAGGTAGTTGCAAAGCGTTGGGATGTTGCCTTCCAGTAACTGCAAAGAACGCAAACATCATCTTATTCTACATTACCTGGTAGGTCGGTCTTTAAAGCGAATGCATTATTATGCAACCAAGTGGTGACTAATTGTCATTTGATGAAACACACGAGTAATAACACCCAATCATTGTCAAGTCTGATTGTATTCAAATCTGTAGTGGCAAAGTGACGAGAGCTGGCAGTAGTAGCTGGCACTTGCATGACAATCTCACATAGTAACCGAGTTATTTCCTTTCTTTCCTTAAGTGTGCGAGAAAACCCTTGTTATACAATGCTTCAATTAGAAATGGTGTGATTTTACCTACATGCAACACGCATGCATATAACAGAGGGTTTCACCACCACATAACACCACATCCATGCCACAGTAATAATGGGAATTACAAACATAAAAACGAACTGCATGATTGGCATGACAGCAGAACTCAATATAAACATAGACAGAAGAAATATGGTGGGACAGCAGCATTGAGAGCTTACATGGAGACAAATGACAGTATCTATGCATGATACCTGTGGGCTATCTTTTGCCACTAGCTCCAGTAGTTGTAATAAGCTGGTCTTTTCTGTGTTCTCACACTTGGGCAGCAGACTGATTAACGTAGTAACGTTGTCATTGATTGGCTGCTTGTTTTGAGCGTATATCTGTGGCAATACTCTTACCAAAGAAATGTTACCTACAGAGGAACAAAAACAATCTCACGAATTATCAGGAAACATAGAAAGAAACAATAATAAATAAACACATAATGATAGAATAAAACATACAATTACGACAACGATAATCAACTTTAACAAAAATAAGAATAAAATAATTACACGGTGACATTCACAATAGTATTTCTTCTGAATACTCGGCATTCTCTGAGTGAAGTTAGACGTCTAACATACCATTTTTGATGCTCTCAATGATCGGTCTGACGTGTAAGGCGAGTAGGTCTGCATTCATTATCGCAGACAGGGATAGATAGGATGTTAGACTCCTACACAGCTCCCTGCTGCCCTTGTTCAGAAACTTCACTGCTACTGGAATTGCTACCTTCATCACAGATTTCTTTGAATAGTTCTAGAATAAAGAATCACAATTTCAGATAATCCATTTTAGATGAGCGTATAAATCAATAACTCCCACACTGTAGGATCACAGAACTATAACAGGTTTAGCACGTATAACAAGCTTAAAAGCCCAAAGGGTCTTCATGGAATACTAACAAGGTTTGATTAATGGCAATTTTCACGCTAGCTTGAAATAATGGCATCCCTAGCTTGAAATAAATCCAAGGCACTTTTCTTCTTGTAGGATACAGCAGGTACATTTTTACCTAGATCGCTTAGCAGTTTGTTCCACACAGTTTTACCCATTGCTATGCCTGCGAAGGCAGCTTACAAACACACCAACATCTCATCTCTTAGCGAGTGTATAATCAAGCCCTGGCATTACATTTCTACGGGACACAGATCTAATGCAGAAACCCGTGCAGATTCAACATCGGCTACACCAAACTATCGTGTGGGTATACATACCAGAAAGACACAGCTGAGAATGTCGGAGGCAATCTTAGCGTGTGGTGGGTCCTCGTCCCGGCCGGACGGCTTCAGCTCATGTTCCAAGCAGGAGCTGAGTAGCGACATTAGCGATGGTGCATGCGTCTCTATCGTACCAGTCTCCCTACAGACGCCCGGACGAGTCACAGCATAAACTCAAACAGCATCCACGGATGGCGTACGGACTTTACATGTTTAAATATTATTATTATTATTTAAATATATTTATATATATTTATGGTATTTACTTATAAATCCACGTTATTGAACTTTTCATCTAGCATGCATTGTATGCACACGATTATTAGCCGGTAGCCAGTAAACATGAAACGATATCGAGTAATATTAATTTATTCAACTACTTCAACAATGTATATTTATGAATTCGCCCACCTTATCGCACTAGTGACGCGCGTTATGCATATTTCCACGACACTCTGGTCATTGTCACGCTTACAGTAGTCTGGTTCATTAGATATCTGCTGTATAGACTGTAGGACGGCTGGCAGGTCATTGACTATAGAAAGCAAGAACACACTATGTGATCAATTCGAGGTAACCTAGCTGGTGGTGGATACACACAT